CCCCAAAACCCCAAAACCCCCTACTGAAAGATTAATAATAATTTAGGGGAATTAAATTTAAAGAATTTATTTTGATTGAATATAATGGGAAGCTGTTCAAGTGGTCCTTCTAAGGAGACTGAAATTGACTTATTTTTACAAAAGCATCATAAGCTTGGGCAGGTACATACAGACAAGAATGCCTATGAGGTATCAAAGCAGTAATTTGATCCTAAGTTAGCTAATATGGTACTGCAACAATTAGGTGATCAATATCTGATTAATGATGAGATTGAGAAAAGATCAAAACTAAGATAAGGAATGGGAGACTTCTAAGAGGATTTAATTTTGCTAAGTGCTTCTACAGCAAATATGCCCACTTCTCATTCGAATAATGCATATGGATCTGAATAGTCTAGATTAGGCTAACCAAAAGGCACCCTTACATGCACTGTGGTTCAAGAAGATGCAGAACTAAATCTATAAGGAGAATATGGAACTGGTGGTAGGCCATTTATTCACAAAGTGCCAAACCCATATCTTGAGGTAGATCTAATAGATCCTTCTGATCCAATTTTATTCCAAGGCGAACTATAGAAATTCAAGCCAGGATTTAATGGAGTCTTTATTGATAGATGGGTTTAAGTCACGAGAAAAGCTCTTAGATACTTTGCAAATAAGCCTGGTTCCTAGTTAGCTGCAGGTAAACCTCTCATGGCATTTCCAATCATAGCTATAAAGAACATTGAAAAGATAGACTTAGATATAAAATTGAAGAAAACAGATAAGAAAGGGCAAGAGCTGCAGAAGAATATGTTTGAGATTTATTTGAAAGATGATTTCTTGGATATTTTCCTTAGATCAGATTATGAATAGCTCTTCGCTCCAGACACCAAGCGAAGAAATCACATATTGTAATAGATTGAAAGAGAATCAAAGAACTACTCTTCTCCTGGAAAGAAAAATTTAAAGGAACTTTATCAATCTGAGATGGAAAATAAACCAGAGGAGCCACTTAAGTAGGCGGCTATGTCGACCTTGAACACTCACTCTGGTGCCTGGTCAAATAGATAAGGCATGTGGCCACTAAGTGATAGAAAAATGATATTCGCTTGCAAAAAGGAGATAGTTACAAAATAATGGCTTGATAATTTGATTGCAGTGGCAAATGATGTCAATAGACCTGTAGAAGAGTAGTAGCAGATATTAAATGAGATCGAAAATGATGTAGAAGATGTAGATAATGGACCAGTTAATGGCACTATCAATAATAACTCAATGTCTTTAGAGAACTCTCCTAACAGATTCTCTTGAATTTTAATATTTTAATTTTTATATTCTGATTACAAGATAAATAAAACAGCATCTCGGGGTTTTGGGGTTTTGGGGTTTTGGGGTTTTGGGG